ACAATAGTAGACATGTTCCTGTTCAACAAACGGAATGCGCCGAAGCTGAGTGCGCAGATCCTTGACCACCAACGCAACCCGCTCCCCTCGGTGCCCCTCCTCGATGTTGGCCCTCACGACAACATGATCGGCTATGAGGTGATCCCCAAACATCTTGGTTGGGACACGACCTTCAATGCAGCTGTTCCGTCGTTCCTCCATGACGGCGCCAACGTTCCAAAAGACCCTGGCGAAAACACATGCGATTGAAAAGCTCACCGTGTGTCTCTCGAAAGCTCATGTGGTAAAACCCACATCCACAGCCTTCCTCCGCTTTCCATGCGTTCCACGGTATTCTGACCATGGGCGCACAGCAGAGAGCGCCTCTATACACAAGAGCAAACCCGGTTTGCTTCACCTTGAAAGACATATGGAACGGTCGCGACCAATAGTCGCACTTTGTTCCACTGCCACTTGGTGGCCAGGATCTTCCTTGGCCACGTTTGCTTGACAGAGTTCTTTCACTGCAAGGCGCACCAGAAAAAACATGCGCTCTGTCGCGATGGCCTAGAACCTACTAGCGATGGCCTCGACTTTGACAAGTTGAGCATGTTCCCCTCTAATTTGCAAGGCAGAGCTCAACTCCGAGGCCTCACAGGTGACCTTGGAAATGCAACGCCAAACCATGGGATGAGTCCAAACCCCATACTCACTCAGACCTACTCCTCCAATCCCCGTTTTTCCTCCCAAGTCCACTGAAACCTTCACCGGCCAAAGCCGGCTTCCAGAAAAGCAAAGTAAAAAATCTGCCCGCACCGAAGGTGCCGAGGCGTTGTGGAGGCTCGCGGCAACAGCAGTCGGAAGAAATCTGCTAGATTAAATCTTAAGCTTTAGCTGGGGGAGCACTTTTCGACTAGAAATGCTGTGCTTCACAGTCTTTTTTGAAGTTACTAAAGATTTTGGACCAAACGTTGGCGATGCCGGCTATGCCGGCCGGGAGACACCGCATTATTGACATCGTGGGTGTGTTCGTCCGTGTGTCCTGCCCGACCGAGACAGACAGAGTGACAGACCGAGACAAACGCACCGAGACAGACAGACTGAGACACGCTTGAGCCTGTTAACATTTCCTCCCGGCTCCGAGAGCACAAGTTGCTAGTTCCCGGCTCCGCGAGCGCAGGTTGCTGCCCATGTATGTGTGGATGTGTGTCCGCATGCATGTCTGTCTGTATGCATGGATGGATGTCTATGTCTGTACGTGTGTGTGTGTGTATCTTTTCCCTTTACTCTGTGCGGGCGGCTTCGACCGCGAAGCGGTGTGAATAGCAAATAACATCACTATAACTCAATTATAACTCCCCTCCATCCATCCGCGCCCGGGTGCTCGAACTCGTATGCTTGGACGGCACGTCTCAGGTTGCCACTCTCGAAGCGACTTTCGAACAGCAGGGTTCGATCGTCAGGTCCTACGCACGAGGTGACGAGAGGAGGCAAGGCCGGACCGTTGTTGGACAGAGGCAGGTTGGAATGAGGCGGGGTGCATCTACGAACGACACACAAAAGTAGGTCCATCATGGTCCATCCGTCTGGAAATGGTTTGGTGTCGTTGCATGGTCTGTGCAGGATATTGCAGGCAATAGGTGAGCTGAGGAGAGAGACAGCCGCTTGCAATGCCACATGCCAGTTCTCCACATTGCAAAGTATTCATGTTCGTGTTGCTTCGGAGGCAAATGGAGTGATCTATAAAGCAAAAACAAGCCAAAACATTCTACCCCGTGCTGATGCGGGTGATGCGCCCTCTACTATCCTGAACCGCATGAATCGCATCAAAAAGGTTGCAGTCACTGGGTTCACAAGTACATACCCTACAAACTCTGCAGAACACAAACTCTGAGCAAGATCCGCTATCATACCCTCCAAACTCTGTGGAGAAAACCTGTCCTGTCGGTGTGTAGTACGGAGCCAAATGTGGCTTAAAATCTGCGCGCGATTGAAATCCAACCGTTTGGCCAGTGAAAAGCGGCGGTTCCTCGGCAGGGGCAATTGCGGATGTGAGGGAGTGCTTTCTACGCTGTGAAGCTATAAGGGTGATACTCAGCCAAGGGGTTTTGGTCTATTTCCCTTCTTCCAGGAGGTGGAAACTGGATGGTCTCCCTATTCCAATACACACCCATAATCCAGAAGTGTCGACGCAAACGCACCAAAAAGAATCTTATGCTTGGCGTGATCGCACCACGCCAACAAAAAAGGGGCTCGGTGTTGGGCTTCGTTCTTCTTCGGCACCCAGCGAAAACGCAAAAACTAATATGGAATAAGTATAACTATAATGAAAACATATGAAAAAAAATAGATCAAGAAATGTAAAAGCAAACAAACAAAACTCACTGCACCAACAACCAAGGTGCCGGCTCCGTCTTGAAGGGATCTCCCACACTATCATACACAATCCGATTCCGAATCCCCTCAGGCTGCGACATGCGCTCCGCCTCCGCTTTGCAGATCTCGTCGAAGAGCGTCTCGGGCGCGGTGTACAGCAGCTCTGGCTGCTCGGGCACCACGCGCAAAAAGCGGGGCGTGGCGCCCAAAGGGATCGAGATGCCTGTCTGGGGCGTGGGAACACTGTCGTCCACCTCGAAGGCCTTGCGACGATCCAATGGGAGCTCCCCACCTGGGCCGGAGGGGCGGGCCCACGCCCAATGAGTGGGAAATGTTTGGCCGGAGAGAGGGCCGCGGTGGAAGAGAGTGGTGTTGTGGATGGAGAGGAGTTGAACCAAAAATCCATCCAAATCCCGTCTATGTCGGCCATGGCTGGATGGTTTTGGGAGAAGAGCATCAAAGAACTGGATCGCGGGGGGCTTGGTGGATTGTGATTGGCCCGGGACAGAAGTGGAATGCGTGGGGGGCAAAGAACACGAACATGGCGGAGATCTGCTCAAAGCTGCACAGCTTGAGGAATTCAAGAACCCATTTTGCCGCGTGTGACACGCCGGAGTCGCCCCACCTTCGACCGTGTCTGGGCCACGCTCCTCCGCCGCTGGACCGCGCTCCCAGCTCTCGTCTTCCACACCAGCCAAGCGCAAGATCTCATCCTGATGGGCCGATTGGTTCCCCAAACCCAACGAGTAGGAAGATCGATGAGACATGATGAAATACCTGGGGGCTTTGGATGATTCACTTCGACCCAAACATCTGGTTTTTCCCAGAGGCAACAAAACACGGCTCACGTGGCCTTCCCACACCCTGGCAGCTTCCCAACGGGGCACTTCCAGTCCTTCACACCCACTTCCTCACGGTCCACGTCCTCTGGATCTTCGAAGACGTCCACATCTTCCACTTCCTGGCGGGTCCGAAGTCGATCCTCCCTCCTCTCCGCGGCGGGTGTGGGGCCTTAGGTGTGTCGGTTTCTTGGACGAGAAAAACCGGGAAAAGAAAAGGCCCGTCTCCACGGGGGTCGAATGGTCCGAAGTCGGGACGGAAAGGCCTCCGAAAAGCAAAGCGACTGGCGCGCGAGCGACCGTTCGACGCGGAGGAAATCAATCACACGTCGGGGTGGTTTTGAGGTCCCCCAAGTGGTTGGGCATGTCACAACGGCACCCCCGTTGTTCCTCCGTTCGGAACCGGCACCCCACTCCATATGACTCCTGGCACACTTGAGACGAAGTACGTGCCGGTCTGCCGCCCCCCGTTTCCTCCGTCACCGGTGTTTCGCCCCGCCGGAACTCCTCATCCATGGGATCTTCGCTCTTGGAATCCTCGCTGATGACGTCGACGTCACTCGGCTCACCGTCGCCATCCTTGGGAGGCAGGGGGAACAGCAGGCCATCGCACTGGTCCTAGCGCCTGCCTGGTACAGTAACTCAGCCGGCGAAACTGAACAACCTATAGCGAAACGCTTCAGGACTCCAGGGACTCCAGGACCCCCGCTTGTCCATCCTGAGGAGTGTTTTGCCTCACCCTCAACACCAAACACCCCCCAGCACTCTCCAGCTCCCGGTTCCAGCTCCCAGCTCTCAGCTGAGCTACGGAAGACTTCTCAGCTTCAGAGCGGACTTCATCCACCAGGTATCTCTCCGTCTTCACGCCCGAGACGCCACCCGTCGCCGCGACGGCCGTTTCGGCCGTCACGGGGTCGAGGTCGGCCGCGGGCAGCACAGAATGCGCCACGTAGGGCGGAGCGAGGTTCGCGTAGCCCTCATCATCACGAGCAGCTCTGGCCATGCAGACAAACGAGTTTGCGCAGACAAACGGCACGCTGGAGCTCTCGGGGTGTGATGGAAACTTGAGCTGAATCCGGAGCATTCCAGAATCCCTGAGGGGTTCTGAAGTTCCAGAGCATGGACTTGGCTTTTGAGGTATGGAATTTATGTGATGTGCACATCATGATTCATGTTTCTGTAGAACATAGGGGTGCAGAATCCTTGGTTCTGTGACACCAACTTGGTGGTTGCCTGTGTGCAAATGTCCAAATCGAACGTGTTTACGCACCTGCAATCAAAAGCCATATCTGCTGCCAAACCACATCTGAACAGTGGGGTTTCTCCTGGTCCAGTGTCTTCAGTCCTAGATCTGCATTTGGGGTGACCTGCACATTGACAAAGAATGTGTGCAAAGGGGTTCCTGCCAATGCAGAGTTGGACGAGGGAGTGCAATCTGCTTCTTTTGTGATGGCAATGAATTCCTCTCTTTATGATGTGCTGGTTTGCTAGAATCCAACACGAGCCAGCGAGAGCGAGAGCGAGAGCGAGAGCGAGAGCGAGAGCGAGAGCGAGAGCGAGAGCGAGAGCGAG